TTAAATTAAATCTGGTATAGCAGGGATCCCCAACCCCTGGGCTGTGGACCGGTACCAGTCCACGGCCTGTTAGGAACCAGGCCGCACATCAGGAGGTGAGCGGTGGGCGAGCGAGTGAAGCTTCATCTGCCGCTCCCCGTTGCTCCCGTTACCACCTGAACCATCCTCCAACCCCGGTCTGTGGAAAACTTGTCTTCCATGAAATCAGTCCCTGGTGCAAAAAGGTTGGGGACCGCTCTGGTATAGGATATCTGAAAAACCTACAACTAACATCATATTTAATGGTAAAATATTGAATGCTTCTCTTCTGACTAGGAACAGGGTAGAGAAGTCTATTCTTACCACTTTTGTTCAGCATTGTACCGTGGGTCCTTGCCAGTGTGATAAGGCAAGAAAGAGAAGTAATATTCAGATTTGAAAGGAAGAAATAAGACTTTTTGTTCACAGTTGACATGATCATCTTTCACAAGTAGTATGAATCGTAAAAGAAAAAGAAAAAAGTGATAAATTATATTTCATTAAAACAAAAGCTTTTACACTTCAGAAGACAAACATGAAGGGACTTCCCTGGCGGTCCGGTTGTTAAGACTCCATGTTTCCACTGCAGGGGGCGTGGGTTCGATTCCTGGTAGGGAAACTAAGATCCCACATGCTGCATGGTGCGGCAAAAAAAAAAAAAAAAGAGAGAAAAACGAAAATGAAAAAGCAAGTCACAGATTGTGAGAAAATATTGTAAAATTTATATTTGACAAAGTGCTAGTATCTGTATTATATAAAGAACTCTTAAAATTCAGTAAGTCCTAGGATGTATTTTTTAAAAGCGCAGATATTTAAACATCTTCAGAGAAGGAGATACTCAAATACCAAATAACCACATGAAAAGATATGGTTATTTTAATGGCAAAAAAGAAAAAAGAAAGAAAGAAAGGGTAATCCCAAGTGTTGGCCAGGATGTAGAGCTAATGGAACTCTTATACATTGCTGGTGAGAATGCAATATGATACAGCCACTTAGATAAACAGTTTAGTAGTCTGTTATAAATGGAAACATAAACCTACCTACCAGTAATTCTACTCCTAGCTATTTACCCAGCAGAAGTGAAAGCATATGTCCACATCTAGATTTTTATTTTTTTATTTTTTTATAAATTTATTTATTTTATTTTATTTATTTTTGGCTGCGTTGGGTCTTTGTTGCTGCGTGCGGGCTTTCTCTAGTTGCGGTGAGCGGGGGCTGCTCTTCATTGCAGTGTGTGGGCTTCTCACTGCGGTGGCTTCTCGTTGCGGAGTATGGGCTCCAGGCGCATGGGCTTCGGTAGTTGTGGCATGCGGGCTCAGTAGTTGTGGTGCATGGGCTTAGTTGCTCCGCAGCATATGGAATCTTCCCGGACCAGGGCTCAAACCCATGACCCCTGCATTGGCAGGCGGATTCTTAACCACTGAGCCCCTAGGGAAGTCCCAATAGTTTACTTCTTTTTAGAGCTGAATGACACTCCACTCTCTGGATGTACCACAGCTTATTATCCATTAACCTAACGAAGGACATCTTGGTTGTTTCCTCTTTCCATTTTTAATGCACTCTGGCACTTTTTATTCTATTCATTTTTTTTGCGGTACGCGGGCCTCTCACTGCCGTGGCCTCTCCCGTTGCGGAGCACAGGCTCCGGACGTGCAGGCTCAGCAGCCATGGCTCACGGGCCCAGCCGCTCTGTGGCATGTGGGATCTTCCCGGACCGGGGCACGAACCCGTGTCCCCTGCATCAGCAGGCGGACTCTCAACCACTGCACCACCAGGGAAGCCCCATCCTATTCTTATTATTGTTTTAAGAAAAATATGCTGGTCTGGATCTACTAAGTTGTTTTCACAACCCACACTCTGTTTCAAAAGCACGGTCCCGTCCTAGGCTTATTTGTATGCAGTGGGAAAGATTCACAAGAGAGGGGGAAATAGATGATAGAGTAAAGGATAATTGCACATACTGTATCACTGTATTACAGTATGTATCACATACTGTAAGAAGGCCTTAGTGATGGCATCCAGAGCATAAATTAGCAGTTGGCCCTTAACTGCAGCAAGGATCACCGTTTCATGCTAACTGCCAGGAAGATACATCATGTGTGCACAGATGAAGTAGTGGTAGTTGGAAGACGACAGAGTTCCTGTTAGAACTTTTCTGTAGTTTCAAAGTAGTGTGAGCCCAAGTGAGAAGGGAGTGTTGGAGGTTTGGAGAAAGTATGAAGTCGACATTTTGGAGAATTGTAAAGCAAAGTTTACTTGAGAAATGTAGAAAAGTTGTGCGATAGTGCCGAGTGCTTGTTTGAGACTTACGGTCATGAATTTAAAGTGAGGCTAGTCAGTTCAGGTTAAATGAATGAATCCTGAGTGAATGTTAGCCTTCAGTGTTAACCTGTTCTTCATCCGTGTTTGCTGCGTGGGTGTCATGGGCAGTTGCGGAAAAAGAGACGTGAGATTTTACTTTGGGAGACACTGACTTCAGACTCACTCTGTGACTTAAAGTAAATGAGTATGTATCTCAGTGACATCACTTTAGAGGCTAGAGTCTGTCCCACTCGGGATCCTGGTTTTGGTGCACCCCTGGGTTCACGGGCAGACCCAGAGATACTCTGGCTGTAAACGCTGCTCTAAAAAAAGAGCAGGTGAGGTGGTGAGGGCATGAAGGGCTTGACTTGGCACTAGAAAAGATGATGGTATTTCAACTTGGCGAGGCAGAAAGGGTGGTATGATTCAAGTATTAAAAATCTTGAAGAGTATGCCTTGGTTCAATGTGGGCTTATTCGTCAGCTCCTACCACTGTCTGAACCACTTAAAACTTTTAAGAGGTAAATTCAGGGCATTGAGCCAGCAGAACTGAGACTTTAAACTCTAAAGTTCTCCTTGCCAAATGGCAGAACTCCTAAAATGAGGTGGAGAAATGAGTGGGAACAATTTTATTAGTGATAATCTCTTGGCATTGTTCATTTTTTGAGGGGTTATTGGACTTCTTGGGCCAAAGCCAAAGCTGTGGTTGCCATTTACTTTTTGCTTTCCAGCCTAGCTGTAGGGGTAATTAGATTTAAAAAGAAAATCTCTTCTAAACCTGGGATTTTATTACTTTAGAAGATAAAGTCATTAAGCCTCCTTAGCTGTTATGAGATTACTTTAGCAAGTTTCCTGAGTCATTCTAAATCCACAATCCATAAGTACACAACGGAGGAGACTTACTAGCAGGAGAAGCCTTACTAGCAGAATGGCCCAGGCTGATCTGCTTAAATTATGTCGACCCCATAGTGCTGTGTTACCCTTGCCTAACACAAACTACATAAGGATGGCAGTGGTGGTAGCCCATTGATTCTGGGGAGCTGAACAAGTACAAAGTAATTGTTCTCAAATGATAAAGTTAAATAGGACTTAAAAGAAATCACCTAGCTTGTATTCTACATGAGATCTCACCTATTTCTGAAGAGCTAATTTTTTCTAGTAATCTTTACAGGCAGCTTATATTTTGCTGAAATTTTAACCAGTCTCTTATTTAAAATTTACCAGACACTTTGCAACCCAACACATTAGTTTCACTGGGAGTTTTCATACACATACCATGCACATAAATATGTTGGAATTAGGAGCATTCTGTCCCTAATGTCCAAAGAACAGTCACATGTATAGATCAGGAATATTGAAATGAATATGCAAATGGAGGGAAAACTGGCTTTTTCCAGAGGGGGACGGAAGTCAATCGAACCTTCACCAGACAGGATTCTGCTTGTCTATAGACAAGAATTGTTTTCCATTGTGCTCGGTTATCTACAATTTACAGAACTGTAACATAGCTCAAGGGCAGTGGATGACTGGAATCCTGGAAGGGTGGCTCTAGAAAATGCATAGTTTTCAACCGAAGCACAAATTTTCCCCTAAACCCAGTTATTCATGGGAATAACTACAGGGAATATGATGGTTACTGGAGGAAAACAGTCTCAAAACTTTGTGTTAACTACTTGCAGTATGACTCTTTCTAAAATGTATTTTTATAGGATCTACAACATCATTTTGGACCATGACTTAAGTGTTTAAGGTTGCTAGATAAGTAAGTACAGCCTCAGCTGTTTGAACCATGATTCAGAGTCACAAATAGATGTGTTCAAGTCCATGGTCGAATGACGAACAGCTACTCTTTATTGAGTAAATTAATGTACACTAATAATGGTGACCTGGAGGTCAGGCTTAAATTATCTTCAGAGGTGTTAAAGTAGTAGTCAATTAAGATTGGTTAATTATAATATCCTAAGATAAGGTAGATTGGTGGTGGTGGGGATCTTAGATTATTAAAGGGGTTCTGATAGGAAACAGGCAAGAAATGTGAAGGAAAAAGGGGAAATTAAAGTAGATATCCTGTGTTTTTATCCAACTTTCCTAGAAGCTTCTGCTTTTAGACTCAGTGTTCTTCCTCTTAGTACTCGGTTGTGTCTGGGAAGTTAGAATGGTGTCTTTTGGTTATATTTAAGAAAACAGCATCTTTCATACTCTTATCAAAAAGCCTTTTTAGGGCTTCCCTGGTGGCGCAGTGGTTGAGAGTCTGCCTGCCGATGCAGGGGACACGGGTTCGTGCCCCGGTCCAGGAAGATCCCACATGCCGCGGAGCGGCTAGGCCCGTGAGCCATGACTGCTGAGCCTGTGTGTCCGGAGCCTGTTCTCCGCAACGGGAGAGGCCACAACAGTGAGAGGCCAGCATACGGCAAAAAGAAAAGCCTTTTTAAAAGAGTGGGATATGGCAAGAAACTACAGTTGCGAACTAGGAATATCATGTTTCAAGTTTGTATCTGAGGAAGGGGGAAGATATAAAAGAATGCTTCCTCAGCTCCCCAGGCCTTTTAAATTCGTTGTAAGTGTGTCCAAAGGGTGCTGTTCTTGAGCAAGCTTGTGTTATTCTTGGTGTTCAGTCCATCGGTTGTAGACATGTAACTTTTATAGTCCTTGATTTACTGAGAAGATCTTCTGAATTTCAGGTATAAAACATCAGAATGAATTTCAGCGTCTGGTGGATCAAGCCAAAAAAGGATATAAGAAAACTGTTGGAATGTCAAAAAAAAAAGTAAAAGAAGAAGATGAATCTACAGAAAAGCTATTATCTGTATGCGTGGGTAAGAGACTTTAACTAAAAACAGAAGTATATGGAATTTTTAAATTTTTAATATCAAAAGGAAAAAACAAAGGAATTTACTTTGGACTTAATTGGTATTTGAAATGGGCAAAAGTATTTTTAGACATATAGCAGTTGTTGGATGTAAACTAGGTTTATTACTCTGGGAAGAATGATCGTGGAGATGTCCTGAAGACACAGTTTCTAAAATCTGTCTTCCTTTCCATTAATGAGAAATCAGAAGTTTTTTAGTTGTTTAAGCTTGAGGTATAGGATTTATTGCTGCAGATCCTTAGGTATCCTACAAAGAGAATAAATTATTTTTATTATAGGTCGCTGGTAATAACTTTGGATGGAATGTTCTGCTAAAATATCTAAGGCTAGTACACAGCACATTCCAATTTCAACCCATTTTAAAATTTGAGATTGATATTATATTTGTGTTGCCAGGACTTTGGGCCAGTGAACAAAAAAACAATCATAATGGAGGAAAGTGCACAAGAAAATTCTTTATTATTTTGTCTTTATTGTGATAAAAATAAACAAAACATATTTATCATTTTAACCATTCATAAATGTACAATTCAGTGGCATTAAGTACATTCACGGTGTTGTGTCACCATCACCACTATTACACCCAAAACTTTTTCATCATTTCCAGTGAAAACTCTGTACCCATTAAATAATAACTCTTCCACTTTCCCCACCATTTCTTGGTAATCTCTGGTCTACTTTCTGTGTCTATGAATTTGCTTATTCTAGGTACCTCGTATAAGTGGAATCATATATTATTTGTCCTTCTTTGTCAGCTTATTTCATTAAGCATAATGTTTTCAAGGTCCCCATGTTGTAGCATATATCAAAATTTCATTATTTTTTATGGATGAATTCCATTGTATCTATATACCACATTTTGTTTATCCATTCTTCTGTAATGGGTTATTTTCACCTTTTGGCAGTTGTGAATAATGCTGCTGTGTGCATTGGTGTTCATGTATCTGTTCAAGTCTCTGCTTTCCATTCTTTTGGATATGTACCTAGCAATGGAATTTCTGGTTCACATAGTAATTCTTTGTTTACCTTTTCAGAAACCACCAAACTATTTTCCATAGTGGCTGCACCATTTTACATTCCCACCAGCAATGCTTGAGGATTCCAGTTTCTCTATATGTGTGTCAACACTCGTTATTTTCCTTTTTTTTTTTTTTTTTTTTTACTGTAGCCACCTTGGTAGATGTCAATTTGTATCTCATTGTGGTTTTTTGATTTGTATTTTTCTAATGACTAATGATGTTGAGCATCTTTTTATATGGTTAGTGGCCATTTGTTTTTTAATTGGCTTGTTTATTTTTTTGTTGTTGAGTTTTAAGAGTTCTTTAAATATTTTGAATATTAATCCATTATATATATGGTTTGCAAATATTTTTCAGCTTTTTTCTGGGTTGTCTTTTTGTTTTCAGGATAGTATCTTTTGATGCATAGAGTGCTTTATTTTGATGAAGACCAGTTTATCAATTTTTTCTTTTGTTGCTTGTGCTTTTGCTGTTATAGCCATGAAGTTGTTGCAAAATCAGTGTCATGAAGATTTTCCTATGTGTTTTCTCCGAAGAGTTTTATAGTTTTAGCTCTTAAGTTTAGGTCTGTGGTCCACTTTGAGTTAATTTTTGTATATGGTGTAAGTAACGGTCCATCTTCATCTTTTTGCATGTAGATAATGCAGTTTTCTGAGCACCATTTGTTAAAAAGACTGTCCTTTCTCTGTTGAATGCTTTTGACATCCTTGTTGAAAATCAATTGACCATGTATGTGAGGGTTTATTTCTGTACTCTGTGTTCTATTTAATTGGTCTGTATGTCTATCCTTCTGCCAGTGCTATACTGTTTTAATTACCATAGCTTTGTAACAAATTTAAGAGTTGGAGTCCTCCAACTCTTGGGGTATGAGTCCTCCAACTATATTCTTCCTTTTCAAGGTTGTTTTGGCCATTTGGTTCCCTTGAGAGTCCATGTGAATGTTATGATGGATTTTTCTATTTCTGCAAAAAGTGCCATTGGGATTGCATTGATTAGTTGCTTTGGTTAGTTGACATCTTAACAATATTAAGTCTTCTGTTCCATGAACACAGGATGTCTGTCATTCATTTTTGTCTTTTTAAAAATTACTTTCAACAATGTTTTGTAGTTTTCAGCATGCAAGTCTTTCACCTCCTTGGTTAGATTTATTTCTAAGTGTTTTATTCTTTCAGTGCTATAACATTCTTTATTTTTGTCCTCAGTTCTTTTGGTGTCATGTAGTAGGTTACTGCCTGAGTATAAGTATATACTTTATGGTCTTTGTGAACAAGTTAAATTTGTTCATGCAGTTGTTAAAGGACGTTGTCAGAGAGTAGTTGAGGTCCTGAGAAAATCTGGCTTAATATCTCGGATTAAGAGAATATTTTCGTTTATTGGCTGAATCTCTTTTGAAAATGATTGATTGCTTGTAGTCAGGGGTGGTGTATTCTTTGTGTATGTGCACATGAGTATTGCTCTGTCTGGGGTTCAGCGATGAGTGCTGCTGGTAGATAGCTGCGCATGAACGCGTGTGTCTGGGAGGGGTGGGGAGTGTGAGAGAGAGGCAGACAGACTGGCACAGACCGAAAGGTTGAGCTTTTTATTTTTTTGCGGTACGCGGGCCTCTCACTGTTGTGGCCTCTCCCGTTGCGGGGCACAGGCTCCGGACGCGCAGGCTCAGCGGCCATGGCTCACAGGGCCAGCCGCTCCGTGGCATGTGGGATCTTCCCGGACTGGGGCACGAACCCGTGTCCCCTGCATCGGCAGGCAGACTCTCAACCATTGCGCCACCAGGGAAGCCCAGGTTGGGCTTTTTATAGCATCATACAACCAGTGTAACTTTTGCTCTTTAGAGTAAACTTGCTCATTAAAGTGCCAATATAAGTGAACAAGGTATGTGTCCTGTTAAGTAAAACCTTCATCTGTTTTTGTTACTTTACGTTTCTTTAGGGAGATTTAATGTCGGGGCCTCATGTTTTCGGCTTTATTTGGAGTTCTGTCCTGAGATCCATGGGCAGATATGAAGGATAACTGACTTCCATTGCCCCCAGTTGTTGAATGATATTTGTCTGCAAGAGGGAATTTATCCTGTAGAAGCTTATATAAGAGGGGAAGAAGTAAGAGAAGAATATAAATCAGGTGCAAAAATAAAAGGTAGTTTTATGTTGGATTCCTGCTCCGTGGTTTGCCGGCTTGATTGCATTCTCCCAGCCAGTTGAGTGATAGAGTTGCCTGGGTTCACCGGGTTTACTGGGTGATTGATTCCTCTCAACTGGTCCTAGGTGTCTGTTTACAAGAGAATATCCTAGAGATCCTGGATGGTCCTTCTAGTTGACTGCATGTTTCACTTTCCCAGGTAAACATTAGAGGGTACAGTTTTGTTTTGGTAATGAGCAGGCTTAGCGAAAGCCAGACAACATCAGGAGCTTATTTTTAGAAATTGTACTCTTGTGTGATGTAGGCTGTTCACGAGGGTAACAAAAACTTATAATTGTTTCTGGAACAATCTTGACCATATGGAGTTGGAAAGGTTTTTGTTTGTTTGTTTGAAGAATCTTATTCTTTTTCCATAAACTTTATCTTTATAACAAAACCTTGACAGTTCTCATTGGTGTCCTTTGTTAAAGGTCACTTGCCTCCACAAGTGCATGAGTGATGTGTGAAAGCTCTTCTTCTCTGTGAGCAAACCCATGAAAGGGGGCTCTATCCCAGTAGCACGTGTCAGGCATGTCAAGAACTCACTCGGTCCCTGAATCTTAAAGCCAGCACAAGTGAAGTCCCAGCAGAGCCCTGAAACACATCGTGAGGGAGGGGCCTGGACACTGAAGAATCCTGCACAGAGATGATTTTCTGCACTCATATTCACAGATATTTGGTCACATCTGCATGTCATCTTCCTGCATACACTGTGTCTGCATCCCCCCAGCTTTCCTGGGCCTTTATCTTTATCTGCAGTAAGAGACCTCGGAAAGTGAGAATATGATAAGGGATGTGTAAAAATGTGACATGTGTTGGATCAAACGGATATATTGGTTATGTCTTATTAGTTTTTCTCTTCCCCAGTGAATATTAGATTCTATGTAACAGATTTAGAAAAATGTCCAGATGGATTCACTACCATTCAGCAGTCAGTGACAAATATTGTGCTTCTCTTATTAATTGAATCTTTAATCCTTTTTTGTCATGTTTCTTATGTTTATCACTCTTCTCTGATCTGTGAAATATTCAGGAATTCTTTAGTAATACTGTAAATAAAAGCCTCATTAGAATTATAAGGTTCTCCCTGCTCCTGGTTTTAAAGAACATTTTATTTTTGAATTAATTAATCTGGAAATACATTGGGTGGACAGTATAACCAGATAGCACCAGTGTAGTGCTAATTCTTACTCTCTGGCTGTCACTAGAGTTTTGGAATCAGTGTTCCATAAACTCCTATTTTACCAAATAGGAATATTAAATGTTGTGGAAATAATAAATACACAGAGGTTGTAAATTTGAAGGTACTCTTAAATGTTTCTTTTTTTTCTTTCTTTCTTTCATTTCTTTTTTCCTTTTTAGGACGGGAAGATAATAAAATGAAATTCTCAGATATACCCTCGGTAACAAACCACTTCCCTCAGTCAAAGCTGGACTCCCCAGGGAAACTAGAGCCTGACAGACCAGATGATTCTTCCAGCTGTACTGATATTCAAGAGGAAGCTCTTTCTTCACCAGAGTCAGAGTCATGCAATAGGTAAGAAACTTGCAGTAGTTGATTATTTTAAATTTCTGTTTTCTGTGCATGCTAAGAGACCAGCACAAGTAGCCAGAAAATAGCTTTGAGGCCTGGTGCCATTCCTCATCTCCTTCCACTGTCCCCTGCGCTTTGTAGGGTTCACAGAGGGATCAGGGCAGGATGTGGGGCGTAAGTGCAGCAGTCACTGGGGACTTTGTCTTCTGCTCTGTAGGCTTTTTTTTTTTTTTAATTTTTTAAAATTTTTACTGGAGTATAGTTGATTTACAGTATTGTGTTAGTTTCTGCTGTACAGCAAAGTGAATCTGTTACACATATATCCACTCTTTTTTTAGATTCTTTTCCCATATAGGCCATTATGAGTATTGGGTAGAGTTCTTTGTGCTATACAGTAGGTCCTTATTAGTTATCTATTTTATATATAGTAGTGTGTGTATGTCAATCCCAGTCTTCCAACTTTATCCCTTCCCCCTCCCCCTTATCCCATGGTAACCATAAGTTTATTTTCTGCATCTGTAACTCTTTTTCTCTTTTGTAGATAAGTTCGTTTGTACCCTTTTCTTAGATTCCACATATAAGCAATATCATACGGTATTTGTCTTTGTCTGTCTGACTTAGTTCACTCAGTATGACAATGCCTTGGTCCATCCATGTTGCTGCAAATGTAGCCTTTATATAGATATTTTTCCTAGAGTTAGAAAAGAGAGCCTGACTGGCAGTGAAATTTTTATCAAAAGAATGAGTGAAGGAGATAAACACAGCTATACTAGAAAGTAGAGGTGGCCAGAAAGACAAAAGAAAGAAAAATTTAATTGAGCAAATAGAATGGATGGGGAACCTTTTACAATGAGAGATTTGGAGGTGAGTCATTTTTCCAAAATTTTTAAAAGACAATTTAAGAAGATGATGTGTTTTTGAAAGATGACATAGTGTTGTGTTATAGTTACCATTTTGTGTTCTCACCATTCACTTTATATGATAAATGCTACCCATGTTTCTACCTCATCTTTATAACTTTTTTAGTAGATGCAGCATTCTGTTGGGTTTCTGTACCATAATTGGCCAAACTTTTAAATTTCTATTGTATTTCTACATCTTCCCCAGTGTTTTTTATACTTACACACCTAAAGCTGTGGTAGAGCTCTCCCTATAGGAAGTCTTTTGTTTCTAATGAATTACTCCCTTAACTTTAGCATCATTTTGACCTTGGTAGGTGGTGGTGTTGCCTTCTGAATGAATTGTACCCATTTTAAATGCTAACAGCAACATGTTATTGAATCTTTGGTATTTGTTCATTTAAAAATTGTTCACAGTACTCTAGAATGATAGATTATGTCTAGTCTAAAATATCAAATTAAGAAGAAATTTTTTTATGAGAAGAATATACCCAAGGACCCTCTGCTTTCCTAGGGTTCCTGGAAAACAGCTTCAGGTTATTCAGAATCAAGTATTAGGAAGGGAAAATCTTCTCATTTTGCCCCGAACATTTTCAAGATCAGATCGGGATCAGTTTTTTCCCGAGTTGGGTAAAGGCAGAACATACGGTAGCCTGAGTTTCTGCAAGACTGTGGCTCTGCTGCACAGTTACTCTGGATCAGGCCATTCCTGTAAGTTCATTGGGTAGTGTTTGTTTTTAAACACAAAACTTATCAGAGTACAGGGTAGAAACGGAGGAGAAACAGAGTTCAGGGAAATAAGAGTGAGTTTTTAAGCATAGTCACGAGATGCCCGAATGTTCTGGAATGCCAGGATGAAATGGGACATTTTAATAAATTTGGAGTGGAGGGTGGAATGGAGGAAAATGAAAGGGGAGACACATGGCAGCCAGATGTATTTTTATCTTGTGGTGAGAGTGTGGAAAACAGGATGAGTTTGTTGGAGGTGTTGGCCTCAGACAGACTTACAGGCATCACTGAACTGTGAGAGGGTTATTAAACCATTGAATTTCTTTTAAAGTAGGCTCTTATATGCTTCCACACTTTAATTAGTTATGCATGTATATATGTCTACACACACACACACACACACACACACACACACACACACACACACACA